TTTTTTACTTAAAAACATGTGTATTCAAGCTAAACGTGGGCGGGGGAAAAACAAAAAAAAAGTCACCTCCTACGATGTTTATAAAGTTGCCCAGAATAGCCCCAAGCCTCTGCAAGTTGAAGCCTGGAAACTGCCCATCGGAGGAGAAAGTTGGGAGTGAAAGGTCCTTCTGGCTTGGGGAGGGACGGGGCACCAGCACCTGTGGAAGCCCCATCCCACCACCACACTGAGAGACCCCCAGGGAGGGCAGGAAGGACAGAAATGGACCAGAAGTCCAACCTCTGTGGACATGGCCAGGGGTTTGCTTCTCCATATGTTTGGTCCTTCAAGTGAAGGCAAGAGCAAAGTTTGTTTCTCACCCCCCTCCTAGCTCTGTCCCTCAGTCCTTCAACCCGCCTCGGCTTGGTCCTCTGCCCTCCTTTTAACTGGGCACCCTGGGCAAAGGCCAGGAGATGAACCACACAGGTGAGGAGGAGCACCACTTGCTCTCAAACTCCAGGTGCAAGTGGTCATCTTCTGCCTGCTATTTATTATCCCCCCCAAGAAGGCATGTTGAGTTCTGGGATGACCCAGTCTTAAGTCTCCAAAAGTGCTGCTCAGAAGGGATTTAGGGGCTGGTGTTGGGCACAGTAATACTGGTGACAGGACCAGCCTAGCTTTCATGGCCAGGACAGAGCGGTCTTTGCTCTCCCTGACCTTGGGTGATGTCCAAAGAAAGGTGTTTTCTCCTGACCCAGAAGAAGGGAGAGCTGCTGGTGAGCCCCTGATGAATGCCATGGGACTTTCAGAGGTACTAGTGCTGGGCACAGGGGTAAGATAGCACATTTGGAGATGCACCAGGCTGTGTTGCCCTGGTTTGGTCCTGTCCAGGAGCCAGCGGGGACCAGCTGAGCTACCTAAGGAGCCTAAAACCTTGAAACCAACTTGCTGGAAACCACAGATGCCGGTGAAGTTGGGCTTTGCAGCATCACCTGCAGCAAACGCACATGACCGAACGTGCCAACCTGCTGGGCAGCAAGGAGGTCTGGTGAGTGGGCTACCAAAAATGGGTGAGTGGACCCCCTGGCTGGCTCCCTTCACACAATACTGGCCACTGTGAGTGTCCTCACCCCCCCAAGCTGTGCTGGGATCTGCAAGTGCCCATCACTCTGCTTCAATGAGCCCTTTCTCTGGGGCACAGAGCCTGCCTGCCGTCCCTCCCACCGCCCCGAGCTCCTTCTCCACGCTAGCCTGGAAGTTCCTCCACCAAACTCACCCCCCAAAAAACCAGGGATGCTGCTCGCTCTTTGCCCCTCACCCCGAGATAGGTGTCTGTAGCCCCCCCGGGGACCTCTGGGTGGCCAGTGATGTTCACTGGGGAAATGGTGAGTCCTTGTTGCCCTCAGGAAAATGCAGAGGGTGCCCGGGTCCTGGCAGCGCAGGTCTCTGGGGCACAGAGCCTGCCTGCCGTCCCTCCCACCGCCCCGAGCTCCTTCTCCACGCTAGCCTGGAAGTTCCTCCACCAAACTCACCTGAGATAGGTGTCTGTAGCCCCCCCCGGGGACCTCTGGGTGGTCAGCTATGTTCACCAGGGAAATAGTGAATCCCTGTTGCCCTCAGGAAAACGCAGAGGGTGCCCGGGTCCTGGCAGCGCAGGGAGGACCAGAGGTGAGAAAATGAGTCGTGCACTGAAGGGAGTTGGTGGATGTGGGAAAATCAGGGAGTTAAGCCCCCTCTGAGTGTGTCATAAATCATGGATCCATGGCAAAAAGAGCCACTTTCCCCTGTGGACCGACGGCAGGCTGGGGTCCCGTGGTGCCACGGAGGTGGGGTGTGGGCAGCTCCCCCAAAACATGGCCCCGGGGGTGGCTGCTGAAATCCCTGCGAGGGCTGAGCGGGGTCTCTGCTCGGCTGGCCCTTTTCTCCCCCCAGGTAGCCCCCTGCCAGCCGGGTCCCCCCTGGGTGCCTGAGGCCTGGAGGGTGCCCGTGGGACGGCTGTGCCCCAACTCCAGAAGAAAAGCCACCGGCTCCCAGTGGAACCGGCCGAGGGCCAGGGTGCCCCAGTGGCCCCACGGCAGGAGGGGAAAGGGTGAGGACAACTTTCCAGCCCTCCCTGGTAGGGGCTGACAGGCCGGATGATGCAACTCCGGGATGGTTTGGGAGAAAAGTCTCCTTTGCTCAACCCAGACACGCTTCAGCTTCGGACTTTTCCCCGAGCTCCGCCGCCGGAGAGCTTGCATTTATTTATAATAATAATAATAAAAAAAAATCCTTATTTATTATTCCCACCTCACTCCGCCCCGAAAGAAAGCAAGAGGGGGAGCTGCTCGGGCGGTGCTGTGCCCCACAGGACTTTCTCTCCCCCCACAACCCCCAAAAAACAGGGAGATCCTGGGGGTCTCCGGTTGCCCGGCCAGGGGGGGGAATGCGGGGGAGGCCCCGCACGGAGACAAAGGAGCAGCCGAGGCCGGAGGGAGCACAAAGGAGGCGGCGGAACCCGGGGCCGCCCCGGGAGGAGGGGAGGGGGGGGATGCGGCAGAAGAACCCCGATCCAGCCTCCCCGGGCCCGGCCCCGCTCTCTCTCGTCGGGGGAAAAAACCGGGGGGTGTCCGCCCCCTCCACGCACGCCCAACTTCCCGCAACTCCCCTCCCGAGCCCCGGGAGAGAAAGGCCCGACCCCCCCTTCCCCTCTCCTCCACCATCCTCCCCCTTCGCTCCGGGGCTCCCGGGACTTCTCTCCCGGAGCTCCCGTTGCCCACATCCCCCCCCATCCCCTCCCCGTTTTAACGCTCCCCATCGCTCCCGGTCGCCGCTGCACCTACCCGGGGCGAGCTCGCCTGGTCCTGCCGTGCGGGGAGGAGGGAGGGCAGAGGGTCCCCTGCTTTTCTTCACGGCGCTGTCATCCTCCCTC